TCTGTCTGCCTCTAGGCCCTGGTGTCCCAGGATGAATTAGGAAGGAGGGAGCTGGAGTGAAACCTCCACTGGTCCACGATCCATGATCTCTGACCCCCTCCTACCCTCTGTGGACCCTTACCCCCATCAGTCCCCAAGGGCCTGCTCATCTCCATAGCTGTCAGAGATTGGATACTGCCCCTGCCCAACCCCCCAGGAGCCCTCAATGACTCCACTTCCCTGCTGCTGAAGGCCAGATGCCTGGCTTGGCCTCTCTCACCTGACCTCTACCTGACCATCCTCTACCTGACCTCCCAGCCTCACCTTCTGCCTCCTGACCGCCTCCTCCCTCCCCAGCTGTGATGGGCTCACTCTTGTCCTTGAATCTTCCCTCCACCCCTAACTGCCTCTTTAGTTCCACCCCTCCCACGAATCAGTGTCAGCAACCTGGAACCTCCCTCCTCAGATCTGTGACAATCTCACCTGCTGCCACATGTTGTCACCAGCCCTAGGCGTGGGGTGGGGTATGTGATTTCTGTCTGTGCCTGGCACCAAGCCGGGCTGAGAGAAGCCACAATGTTTGTGGAGGACATAGCCCCACTCTCTGCCCCCAGGTGCCGCTGTCTGAAGGCTGCAGCCAGGCTCTGATGCGTCTCATCGGCTGTCCCCTTTGCCGGGGAGTCCCCTCACTTATGCCCTGCCAGGGCTTCTGCCTCAACGTGGTTCGTGGCTGTCTCAGCAGCAGGGGACTGGAGCCTGACTGGGGCAACTATTTGGGTGAGGGGATTCAAGAAAGCCTGGAGCCAGGCATGGTGGCTCACACCTGTAATCACAGCACTTTGAGAGGCTGAAAGGCAGGAGGATCACTTGAGGCCAGGAGTTGGAACCCAGCAGGGGCAACATAGCTAGACATCATCTCTACAAAAAAAAAAAGAAAGGAAGGAAGGAAGGAAGGAAGGAAGGAAGGAAGGAAGGAAGGAAGGAAGGAAGGAAAGAAAGAAAAGAAAGAAAGAAAAGAAAGAAAGAAAAATTAGCCAGGCGTGGTAGCGCCCACACCTGTAGTCCCAGTTACTCCTGAGGCTGAGGCAGGAGATCACTTGAGGCCAGGAGTTGGAGGCCAGCCTGGGCAATGTAACTAGACCCCATCTCTACCAAAAAAAAAAAAAAAAAGAAAGAACTTATTACGCGTGGTGGCACACATGCCTGTTGTCCCAGTTACTCCAGAGGCTGAGGCAGGAGGCTCCCTTGATCCCAGGAGTTAGAGCCTGCAGTAAGCTATGATGGTGCCCCTATACTCCAGCCTGGGCAAGAGAGTAAGACCCTGTCTTTTAAAAAAATCCTTAAATTGGCCAGGCACAGTGGCTCACACCTATAATCCTAGCACTTTGGGAGACCGAGGCAGGCGGATCACAAGGACAAGGTCAGGAGTTCGAGACCAGCCTGGCCAATAGGGTAAAATCCTGTCTCTACTGAAAAGAAAAAAAAAAAAAAAAAAAAAAAATTAGCCGGACATGGTGGTGGGCGCCTGTAGGCTGATGCAGAAGAATTGCTTGAACCCAGGAGGCCGAGGTTGCAGTGACCCGAGATCACGCCAGTGCACTCCATCGAGCCTGGGCGACAGAGGGAGACTCAGTCTCAAAAAAAAAAAAAAAATCCTAAAATCCTAAGATTTAAATTTTAATTTTAAAAAAGTCTGGGATGGAGGAGGGTCCTGAGTAAGGCTAGGGGTGAACTGGAGAGGGGCTCTAAAGCCAAATTGGGAGAAAACATGAGAGGAAGCTCATGTGAGTTTCCCCGAAACACTCTACTGCTTTTCTAAGGCCCGATTGAGGATTTTCGGGAACATCCTAGTTCAGTATCACCACTCATCCCATCCTTTCTCTTTCTCTGCCTCCCTTAAGATGGTCTCCTGATCCTGGCTGATAAGCTCCAGGGCCCCTTTTCCTTTGAGCTGGCGGCTGAGTCCATTGGGGTGAAGATCTCAGAGGGTTTGATGTACCTGCAGGAAAACAGTGCGAAGGTGTCCGCCCAGGTACGGGGGAGAGAAGGGTGGAGGTGAGACCCGGGGCGGGGACGGTGTGGGTGTCAGGGAGACAGTATAGGGGATCTGAGAAGAGACTCTGGGGTCAGAGTGAGGACGCAGTGTGGTTTTCCCCAAGGGTGACTGTGAGGTCTCCTCCCCGTGCCGCAGGTGTTTCAGGAGTGTGGCCCCCCCCACCCGGTGCCGGCCCGCAACCGTCGAGCCCCGCCGCCCCAAGAGGCGGGCCGGCTGTGGTCGATGGTGACTGAGGAGGAGCGGCCCACGACGGCCGCGGGCACTAACCTGCACCGGCTGGTGCGTGGGGTGATCAAGGAGTTGGGGGCGGGAGGGGCGGGGTCGGGGATGGGGATGGGGGTTGCGCTCCAGCTCGCCCCGCCCCTTCTCTCCTGCCCAGGTGTGGGAGCTCCGCGAGCGTCTGGCCCGGATGCGGGGCTTCTGGGCCCGGCAGTCCCTGACGGTGTGCGGAGACTCTCGCATGGCAGTGGACGCCTCGCTGGAGGCGGCGCCCTGCTGGACTGGAGCCGGGCGGGGCAGGTGAGCCTCAGGGGCGTGGTGGGGCAGCAGGGGGCGGGGCCGCGGCCGGGAGGGGCGGGGCCGCGCGCGTGCGAGCGAGAGCTTCGGGGCTGCTCTGCTCGCAGGTACTTGCCGCCGGTGGTCGGGGGCTCCCTGGCCGAGCAGGTCAACAACCCCGAGCTCAAGGTGGACACCTCGGGCCCCGATGTCCCGACACGGCGGCGTCGGCTACAGCTCCGGGCGGCCACGGCCAGGATGAAGGCAGCCGCACTGGGACACGACCTGGACGGGCAGGACGCGGGTGAGACCCCGGCATTCCTGAGCCTGAGCCCCGCCCACTGCCCTTAAGCCTCTCCCCTCTCCTGGTAGTTCCCGCCCGTGCCTCTGCTCTTAGCATTCATTCATTCATTAATTCATTCAACGAGCATTTATTGAGGGTTGACCTCAAAGACTGGGGGTAACAGATCAATAAGGGGATCTCTATCCTTTCGGGCCAGTAGGAGAGACACGAAAACATTCTTACAGAACAGTGGGAAGACCCTTATAATGGGCAAAGGGCAGTGGGAAATGGGGGAGGGGGCAACTTGGGGGAGGCTGGGAAGCCAGGGTGGTGGGTGACATTGGGTTGCCTCCCCAGAGTGGAATTTGCCAGACAGAGAGGCAAGGCACAGACACTCACTGTTTTCTTCTGTCTGTCTCTGTCTCTGTCACTTCCCCCACCCCTCTTCCTGGCTGCTCTCTGCTTCTGTGTACTTCTGATTTTTCTGTTTTTTCCTGTTATCCTATCTCCCCATCTGCCTGTCTTTTTTCTCTCTGTCTCATTGTCTCCCATCATGATCTCTCCCCGCTATGTCTGCTGTCGGATCTCTCTCTTTCCCTCTCTCCCTGCCTTCCTGTCACTCATGGTCTTTCTCCCTTACCCAACCCGGCATCCACCTGTGTCTCCCTCCCCTGCCTCTCTCTTTCTGTTTTTATCTCAATTTCTTTTTCTCCCTCTGTCTCCCTCTGCCTCTCCCTCCCATCCTGTCTCTGTCCCTCTTCTTCCTTGCAGATGAGGATGCCAGCGGCTCTGGAGGGGGACAGCAGTATGCAGATGACTGGATGGCTGGGGCTGTGGCTCCCCCAGCCCGGCCTCCTCGGCCTCCATACCCTCCTAGAAGGGATGGTTCTGGGGGCAAAGGAGGAGGTGGCAGTGCCCGCTACAACCAGGGCCGGAGCAGGAGTGGGGGGGCATCTATTGGTTTTCACACCCAAACCATCTTCATTCTCTCCGTCTCAGCCCTGGCCCTGCTTGGACCTCGATAACAGGGGAGGGGTGCCCTAGCATCAGAAGGGTTCATGGCCCTTTCCCCTCCTCCCCCCTCAGCTGGGCCTGGGGAGGAGTCGAAGGGGGCTGCAGAGAAGGTAGAGAAGGGACTTTGCAGGTGAATGGCTGGGGCCCCAAATCCAGGAGATTTTCATCAGAGGTGGGTGGGTGTTCACAATATTTATTTTTTCATTTGGTAATGGGAGGGGGGCCTGGGGTATTTATTTAGGAGGCTGTGTGGTTTCCTTAGAGGGTATAATCTCCAGCCCTCTAAGGCTGGGGCTGGTGATCAGCCCCAACAGAGAAAGTGAGGAGTTTAGAGTTGCAGCTGGGGAAGGGGTTTGAAGGAAGTTGGAAGTCGGGAGGGGTGGGGGCATCTGGTCTCAGAAATGGACAAAGCTGGATGCTGACAGGGTGTGGGGCAGGGGACTGGGGGTGCTTGAGTAGGATGTGAGGCTTCATGGGCCTGGATTCTGTTGAGGTTTTTCAGTATCAATTTCTTAAACCAAAATTTAAAAAAGACAACGTGGGGGGGTGCTCATCTCGTGACCTCTGCCACCCACATCCTTCACAAATTCCATGTTTCAGTGTTCAAGTCTGTGTTTATTCTGTAAATAAATGGTAATGTATTGGACCCCATGTGTGGCTTCTGTGCTGTCACGGTCAGTGCCTGAGCCCTGGCTCCCAGCAGAGGTCTCAGAGCCTCTCTGACTGGCTCATTTTCTGCTAGCTTTTCACCTCCCTTGGCACCTGTCCCCCAGGAGGCGGGTCTAGGGAATAACCCCTGATCTCCCACCCTCTGGGCCTCTGAGTATCTTCGTTTGTACAACAGGGAGAATTGTGGGGACCAAATAGAATCTGTGTGAAAAAGCACCTTGTCACCTGCAAAATGCTCTTTGAACATGAGGCTTTTTTTTTTTTTTTTTTTTTTTTTTTGAGATGGAGTCTCACTGTTGTCGTGAGGGTGGAGTGCAATGGTGCAATCTCGGTTCACTGCAACCTCCCTCCTCCTCCCCAGTTCAAATGATTCTCCTGCCTCAGCCTCCTGAGTAGCTGGGATTACAGGCGCCTGCCACCACACCCAGCTAGTTTTTGTATTTTTAGTGGAGACGGGGTTTCACCATGTTGGCCAGGCTGATCTCGAACTCCTGACCTCAAGCAATCCGCCAGCCTCGGCCTCCCAAAGTGCTGGGATTACAGGCGTGAGCCACCACGCCCGGCCACGAGGCATTATTAAGGTGACCACACCACTGTCCCCTGCCTTCAGGATGGGAGGCCTTGTTCTCTGAGCATCAGTCTCTGGCTACCTTGCCACATCTTTGACAATGTCTGCTTTCAAATATCACTTTCTCCTTCCTTCCTTCTTTCTGCCGCCTGAATGAATCTTTTGTTCTGCGGCAAGCCAAGAGAAAATGGTAGGATTGATTCCCAAGTGTGAAAGGGGGGTGGAAGTGGTGTCTTCCAAGGGGAGTCTGGGTGCCCTGCTGGAGAAGGGAAGATGCAGCGGGGGAGAGACCTAGAACTGCGATCAAAGCTACAGCAGCTGCTGGGGCTGGCGGGACAAAGGGAGGAGGGAGGAGCCTGGGCGCTGAGAAAGTTCTTGGGGAAAGTTGAGCTGAGCCAAGAGTCGGGCGGTGGCTGGGGAGGGCGGGAGGGCCCGGCCTGATTTCCCTTGCTGCTCCCCTTGTGGCCTGGTGAGTGGGAAGTGAAACCAAGGATAGGACCAGTGGAGGGACCTTCTAATTTATGGGAGGAGACGTGAGGGGTTCATGGGACCCCGGCAGGGGCAACTGACTGGGCAGTCACCAAAGCTGGAGGGGACAGAGGGCTGGGATCTCCAATCATGGGAAGGGAGAGATGGATGGAAGGAAATGAAGGGCTCTGGGTAGGGGAGACGCAGCTGGACCCCAGAGGCTGTGATCGGGGAGGAAATTGGGGAGTGATGCCAGAGGGGGCGGGTCTCCGGGAGTAAAAGTGTGGCTTCTCTCAGCCTGGGGTTACCCCTGGCTCATCGAAGCAGGGAGCTGTCGGGGCTTGTTGGAGGGGGCTGTGGTCCTTGATCGTGAGTTGTAATCTGAAGGGGCGGGGCTGGACTCCTGGTTGATTAGGAAGCTCGGGCTTGAGAAGGAACTCTACAGTTAGTATTTGTGCCTTTCTCCATATCTTTGTGTCATAGTCTCTCTGTCTCTCTGTTTCTGTCTGTCTCTCTCTGTGTGTCTGTCTCTCTCTCTCTCTCTCTATCTCTGTCTCCCTCTCCAGCCCCACCCTTTCAGTCTCCTCCGGGTGCACTGATAAGGTTGGAAAGTGGCATGGAGGGTTAAGTCCGGGAATCTGGGCTTCACAAGTAGCCACACGTCTCCCCCAGCCCCTGTCGCACATGGGGGTCTGCCCCGTGCTGAGACAGAGGAAAAAGAGGTGCGGGAATTTAGAACACAGTGGCTCTTGCCCATTGCAATGCCACTCCTGGAAGTCCAACCTCCCTTCCTCCTGCCTGGGTTCATCCACCTGTGTCCTGTCTGATCCTCATTCCCACTGTATGGCTTCCCTTCCTGGCCCTGGGATAGGGCTCTTCATCCCCATCTGTGACACCCAGAGGGGCTCAGGAGGAAGCCAGGGTCCCGACCATAGTCTGACCTGACTGTCTTAATGAGCTGATTGGTCTGATCTCTCTCTTGCTGGCTGTTTCATTCATGAGCTGGGGCTTTTTCTCTCCTTCCCTTCTAAGTCCCCGAAGCTCAGGGACAACTGTAGGTGGGGAGCTGGGGGAATTGGAGATAAGACAGTGATAGAGCAGAGGGAGTAGTTGTGGGGCCACCTAGGACAGTCTGGGTGTAGACCGCATTCCCAGCCACTCCCCTTCCCTGAATCAGGTCTCAGCTGCAGCAGGAGAGAAGGTTCACTCTGCGTCTCTCCTTAGACTTCCCTTCTTCCCCCCTCATTTCCCTCCTAGACGCTGACAGAGGCAAAAATCTGCTAACTCAGGGGGCAGACTCAACCAAGACTGCAAACAGGCCTGGGGAATGACCCCCCGATCTGCAACCGGCGCCTTCCGCGGCTGCACGGCTTTCTCCAGCTGTCTCTGCCCCTGTTCCTGGCCCTGGCTCCATCCCTCTCTCATCTCACCCTTCCCTGTGCCACATGGGCCCTCTGTCTCCTGCCAGGACGCTGCGGCTCTGGGGACCTCGGAGCCTGGGGGTGGCTCTGGGAGTCTTCATGACCATTGGCTTTGCACTCCAGCTCTTGGGAGGGCCCTTCCAGAGGAGGTAAGTTCCCACTTTGCCCCAGCTCCTTCTAGATGCCCCACACTTGCTCTTCCCCATCTCGCCTGGGGCTGGTGACTCTTAGGGACTCAGAAGCCTCCATGCCCTCTGTCCCTTCCACCCATTTGCTGCTGAGGGACAGGACACTCCCCCTGCATCTCTTCCCAGGCTACCAGGGCCACAGCTCCGACAGCCCTTGGCCCCATCTCTACGACCAGCCCTTCCGTCCTGCCCACCCCGGCAGCGACTGGTGTTCCTGAAGACGCATAAATCTGGGAGCAGCTCTGTGCTGAGCCTGCTTCACCGCTACGGGGACCGGCACGGGCTGCGCTTCGCCCTCCCTGCCCGCTACCAGTTTGGCTACCCAAGGCTCTTCCAGGCCTCAAGGGTAAAAGGCTACCGCCCCCAGACTGGAGGCACCCAGCTCCCCTTCCACATCCTCTGTCACCACATGAGGTTCAACCTGAAAGAGGTAAGGAGTGTCGCAGGGGTGGGAGGGACCAGCAAGAGATGGGCTCAGGCTGACACCACCAAGGGAGGGGGCCCAGACTTGAGGGCTCCCCAGGCATCATCTCACCCTAAAGTTGGACACAGGGGCCATAAAGGTGGGGCTCCCTGCCATCCTCTCTACAGGTGTCCCTTCCCCCGAAGTTTCTGGGAGCCCAAGTCCTCCTCTCTCCCTTCTCTCTCTGGCGCTTACTACAGTCTCTGTCTTTCACCAATGTATTTCCCTGGCATCAGTGCCCTGCCAATTCTGAGCCTCCAACTCTCCCTCCAGGTGCCCCTTACCCTTCTTTTTTTTTTATTTCTTGGAAGACAGGGTCTTGCTCTGTCGCCCAGGCTGGAGTACAGGGGCACAATCATAGCTCTTGACTTCCCAGGCTCAAGGGATCCTCCCACCTCAGCCTCCTGAGTAGCTAGGGCTAAGGCATGTGCCACTACACATGGCTACTTTCTAATTTTTTTGTAGAGATGGGGTCTTACTATGTTGCCCAGACTGATCTCAAACTCCTGGGCTTAAATAAATAAATAAATACTCCTGGGCTCAAGCCATCTGCTCACCTTGGCCTCCCAAAGGGTTGGGATTACAGAAGTGAGCTTGCCCAGCCTCTGTGTGTATATGTGTGTGTGTGTGTGTGTGTGTGTGTGAGAGAGAGAGAGAGACAGAGAGAGAGAGACAGGGTCTCACTCTGTCATCCAGGCTAGAATGCAGTGGTGCAATTATAGCTCACCGCAACTTCAAACTCCTGGGCTCAAGTGATCCTTTTACCTCAGCCTCCCAACTAGGTGCGACTACAGGTGCACGCCACCACACCTGGCTAATTTTTTTTTATTTTTTGTAGAGATGGAGTCTCACTATGTTGCCCAGGCTGGCCTCAAACAATCCTCCCACCTCAGCCTCGCAAGTACCTAGGACAACACGCCCCTTCCCTTTCTTAGCCTCCCTTCCACTGTCACACCAGGGCCCCAGCTCCCCCACTGCCTTCTGACTTGTCTTCTTCAACCTCCTCACCATGTCTGCCACATTTTGAGGATCAGCTGTACGTTTAGCCCGGGGCTAAGCCCAGCACTTTGGGAAACCAACATGGGCAGATCACGTGAGGTCAGCTGAGAATAGCGGGGTGGAAGCCCAGTCCTGACCTCCAGGAACTTCTATTCTAATGGGGGAGAGGAGAACATACACATTCACATACTCAGACACACACAGGAAGCTGAGGGCTCCTATAGGAAGAAAATCAATGTGTAATTGAAACATACGGGGAAGAAACTAAACTGAGTATTTACCAGTGCTGAGTACTAATCTTCCCATCACCTTGCCAAGAAGGCATTTTAAGTGTCTCCATTACACATATGTGGAGTTCGAGTCTCAGGGAGGTGAAGAGACTTTCACAGTTAGAAAATGGCACCCAGTAGCCACAGTGGCTCACGCTTATAATCCCAGCACTTTAGGAGGCTGAGGCAGAGAATCACTTGAACCCAGCAGTTTGAGACCAGCCTGCCCAATATAGCGAGACCCCACCTGTACAAAAAATTTAAAACATCAGGCAGGTGTGGTAATGCATGCCTGTAGTCTCAGCTACTCAGGAGGCTGAAGCAGGAGGATTGCTTGAGCCCAGGAGTTGGAGGCTGCAGTGAGCTATGATTGTGCAACTGCACACCAACCTGGGTGACAAAGCAAGATCCTATTGCTAAAAACATAAAGATTAAGGCCAGGCATGGTGGCTCACGTCTGTGATCTTCACACTTTGGGAGACTGAGGCAGGAGAATCACTTGAGCCCAGGAGTTCAAAAGTAGCCTGGGCAACATAGCAGACTCCGTCTCTACAAAAAGATAAACATAAATAAAAATAGCTAAGGGCAGTGGTGCATGCCTGAAGTCCCAGCTACTCAGGAGGCTGAAATGGGAGGACCACTTGAGCCAAGGGAGTTGAGGCTGCAGTGAGCCAAGATCATGCCACTGTACACCAACCTGGTGGCAGAATAAGACCCTGTCTTGAAAGATGAATAAATAAATAGGCTGGGCACGGTGGCTCACACCCGTAATCCCAGCACTTTGGTAGACCAAAGTGGGTAGATCACCTGAGGTCAGAAGTTCGAGACCAGCCTGGCCAACATGGTGAACCCTGTCTCTATTAAAAATGCAAAACTTTGCCAGGTGTGGTGGTGCATGCCTGTAATCCAAGCTACTCGGGAGGCTGAAGCAGGAGAATTGCTTGAACCTGGGAGGTAGAGGTTTCAGTGAGCTGAGATCGTGCCACTGTGCTCCAGCCTGGGCAACAGAGTGGGACTCCGTTTCACAAAAGAAAAAAAAAAGAAAAAAGGACAAGCAAAGATACCAACACAATAAATACAATTGAAAATGAAAGTGGCGCAGAGCCCAGGCTGGCCAAGTTGACCCCAGGACTCATGCTTCCA